TTTGAGATAGACCCTCAAAATGTAGATCTGAGGTGGTTGATACTCAGGATGTAGTCCAGGCTGAATTTTCAGCAGTCTTTTTCCTGCCTCAGCCTCTAGAGTGCTAGGGTTATGGGTATCTGCTATCATGCCTAGCTAAGGCTCTATATCTTTCAAAGTGTTTCCCTACTAATAAAATGTTGTAAATAGATAGTGAGTTAGAGATTTTTTTTTCTTCTTTAGAATTTACTACTAGTTATTTCAGTTATGAAAATAGGGCCAAGCCTTGTTGCACAAGCCTATAATCCCAGCCATGCAAGAGGTTGAGGCAGGAGGATAGTAAGAGGTCAAGGCCAACCTGGACAATGTAGTGAGTTACACACTCTCTAAAAGTAAGAACTAAAAGAAAGGACCAAGGCTATTGTTCAGTGGAAAACTGCTTGCCAAGTATGCAAGAGGCCTTGGACTCAAGCTTTAGTACTATCCAAAACACTAGTAAGTATAGTGCAAACTGTAGGCCAAGCTGTGTGTGTGTGTGTGTGTGTGTGTGTATGTGTGTGTGTGTATGATGTGTGACCTAAATATACATGTGCACATACATTTACCTGCATGCATACATACATTTATTTATTTTAATTTTAGAACCTTCCTAATTCTAAATACTATGGAGGAAATTGGAGTTGCCTCTATTTCCTTCAGGGATGATTTGTTCAGCAGGCAGATGATAGCCACAACCATAACAGTGATAACTATTTTCCTATTACTTTAAATATCTTCACTATTTCTCCTGTTACCTGTAACATTCTAATTATTTCTTGACTGTCTGGTGGATGAATGAAAGTAATTTCTGGACTTCTCATATCGTTTGTAGGAAGATATTTTTTTCTTAAAGTTATTTTGACCAGATAGTCCTTAACAGAAATGACAGAATGCATCATGAAATCCAGTGGGGAGGGGGGTAGCTATGGGGGTGCGGATGTGGGAGGCAGTATGAAAATGATTAAGATGATTTGTGTGAAATGCACAAAAACTCAATAAAAATAAAATGTAATCTAAATCAAAAAAGATATTTTAAATTCTAAACTTATGTAGATTAAAAATATCTATTTACAGATTTTCAATTTAAGTTTATATTTCATATTAAACCATGTATCATATGGTCTCATTTATGGATACAGCATACTGCTTATTAAACATTAGAATGTTTGTTCATTGAATCATAATTTTCTGATAGTCTCAATAATTGTTTTATTCTGATCAATCAATCATTGACTAACTGAAGTACATTTAATCTTTCCACTAATACAGTAGACTTTTACAGTTATCTTTATAGCACTTATTTTTCTTGTTTCAGAACTTTTGAAGCTATGTTATTAATAACATACAAGATTAAAGATTCCTTTTTGAGAACTACTATGTTTCTTACACGAAGGGTACATGTACAGAAATGCCCACCACCTTTATGGAGCTAGCAGACTAGTAAAAAGTTCTAAGAACAAAATTATTTTTTCTGTTGGTGGTGGAGGGAATTGTATTGTCTCCAACAGATCCCAATCTGAGAGATGTAGAAATTCTTCCCAGAAAAAGGCGTATCCACATACCACTTCCAAGTCTTGTGTTAGAAAACAATGTCAAGTTTACTAGATGTCTATAAAACCCCTGTTATCCATCACCCAATTTTTAGTTTTTAATCACATTTTGCTTTTTTTTTGTAATCCTATACAGGTTTACAAAGCATCTCACTGTTACTTCAGATTAGATTTCAACTTAAAATACAGATAGGCCATATGACATTTCACCACATGGCATTTTAATAAGTGACTCTCCTATTTTCTAAGGTATTTTTGTTATATGGGGATCTCACCAGTTCCAACTGACTCCTTCAAAGATGCTATTCTGTTTATGCTTATTCCACTGCAACATTTCTTAAGTCTACGGTGTGTATATACTTTTAAACATTCCCATGTAATGAAAGTAAGATTT